TAGATCTTAATTATGTATTTGTGTTCTGAATTATTTATAAGTATTTTTTTTATTTTCTTTTATTTTTAGTTTTTCTTTCTCTTTTATTGTGTGCGTCCTTTTTTTTTGGTAAATAAATGTATTTTCTTTCTTTCTTTCTCTCTTTCTAAATGCGAAATGTAGTGCGGACCTCGTACAAGTCCATATTTTTATTATAAGAAAAACAAAACCGACTTCAAATATCTCGCTCTGTATTCATTTTATAATTGATTTTCAGGAGTTCCTAAGTATCTCCGGAGCCCAAGATCCAATACCAATGAAATTAATATGGGACCACATGGGAAGCATCAGCTTTCAAATAATCATCAATAAAAAGAATCAAGAGCCGTGATAGCCCAGTGTCCGGGCGCTCGCCTTCAATTCAATATACTCGAGCAACCTGAGTTCGATCCCCGGTGCCGGCACCAACTTTAAGTGCTGACTTATCACGTGCTCCGCGGTGAAGGAAAACATCGTGAGGAAACCTGCATATTTTCGAAATAATAACAAAAAAAAAATATTTCGAAAATATGTGAAGTCCGCCAATCCCCAGTGGGGCCGCGTGGTGGACTATGCCCTGATACCCTCTGTATAGAGGAGGCCTTTGCCCAGCAGTGGGACATGTAAAGGCTGTTACTTTACTTTTTTACTTTAAAAAGAATCGTCAAAATCTGAACCGATTTTGACGAAAGTTCTAGAGATAACAAACGTAAAAAAAATCAGGCTAATTGAGAACCCCTCTTTTTTTTGAAGTCGGTTGAAAAGGTAGGGTGTGCGTTACATGTCTTCCTATTTAGAATGAAATAGCTGTATTTAAACAGTTTCAAATTATTATTAAATCGGTATTACACAATCCACTATGGTTCGTTTTAAGCCTTAAACACGTAAACCTACCGAAGTCCTATAATTATCACATGGCAAATAAACCGACCCAGATCCAAACTGATTTTTATAATATCCCTTCATAAATGACGGAGTTCTGAGGTAGCGAACATAGTAAGAACAACAGAATTGAGTACCTGCATTTTTTTTTAAGTTGGCTTAAAAAGTCGGTTTTAAAAGAAACGCAACCTATAACTTTCGGAAAGGAAATTCTTGATGAGAGCAATATGTCAAGGTAGAGTTTGAACGCACTCTAGAAAACACGCAATTGGGTAGAAGGTAGTTTTGTCTGTGACGCTGACTTCATTTTTTTCTTGCTCAATTCCCTTACTTAGTATACCTTGTACGCAAATGTTATTTTCTTTCCTTTTTAAAAACATTGACCTTACAGTATGATGACATTATCCTGTGGTGTAAAAGCGTTTTCCGAATATGAATTTCATATTACTGTAGTTCACAAAAATACCAGTCCCGTGTGGGAATCGAACCCACGACTGCCGGCGCCGAAACCAGTACCTTGACCACTGCGCCACGGAGTCATCAAATACGCCTTAATTAACATTTATTTTAAGAACTTCAAATGGACGGTATTACACGCGATATCTTCAGTATTTTACGACGCATTCGAACAATGCTATCAAGTTAGGAATTTAGCTAAAACTTTACCATGTAAGTTTCACGAACAACAATTAGGAGCGAACAAACACAGGTTAACATAGTTATCTAGGTGACCAGGATTTTTCAGTCTTGATACCGTGTACTTAGCTAGTTCTCGCATCGGCGAAAGTGCGAATTCGCTGAAATTTTTGACAGCGGTGCCTCGTATGGCTCTGTGGGTCAGTTGCCAAGGTCTTCGGCCGGTCGGGGGTCGTGGGTTCGATTACCACACGTGACAAATATTTTTGCACATTAGATAACTGTATCGAATCTGGTTGTTTGGCCATGTGAAATTTATGTTTCTGAAACGTCCTTACTACACAGCAGTATTAAGAAAAAAACATCAAACATATAAAATAGAAGAATATATTGTACCTTTGCAATGATTACTTACTTATAGCTTATTTAGTTAACTCAAGGAAGATGTCCGGTTCACCACTTGTCGCCTCTTAGGATATAAGTTCAATCGGTTATCGAATTTACTGTTATTTAAGTTAGATTGGGGACAGGCGAGTTTTCCTAAACTATAATGTATTGTTGTACCCAAATTGACCGATTTCTTCCGAAGATATATAAAAATATATAAAAATTATTGCCAGAAAATAATCAAGTGAAACTTCCATAAAAATATTACATATCTGTCGTCGAAAATGAAATTTATTTATTCGCGCCATAACTCTCCCGATCCAATTTTCTGATTTGATACAGGACGCCAAATGGATATTCACCTCTTTTTGTGTTGTCGATACATTTATGTGATATTTTCGACTTCACCTGTTCAAGTTTTAATGGCGCTGCTAATATTATTTTATAATTAAATGAAAATTTTATGTTATATGTATATTTGTAAATAAATATATCTTAACTTAAAAGTGCAGTTTGAAACATCATTATGAAATTTTTTCATATATTGGAAATACAATTGCTGACTAATCGTTTAAGTATCGTTAAGTATCCTTCAAAGGCCTCGGTTGATTAATTACAAACTTATCAAAGAAGCAGTCGTAATTTCATAGGTTACATCGATTTGAGTGTAGAAATATTGCGTTATTATTCACATGAACATGTGTTATTACATCCATATTAATATTTACATTATTTATAGAACAATACCTTTCTATCTACTAATTTCAATAATCTCTTGCAATGAATACCCGGAAAAATGTTTCAGTTTCTGATGTTCAATGTTTAGATATAGCGTACGATTGTTAAAAGTAAAATTACGTACGTATTTGTTTCCTTTTCCTGTCGAATCTTTATCCAATTTAGTTATTAAAAATTGAATAGAATTGAAGTGAGAAATATTTAATTGAACAAGTACTTCGTGTATTAACATACACCTTAAAATATCACGTGCGTTGATAAAACGTGATTGAATACTAATGGGAGAAAATGACGCGTCACTCCAGCGAAAGTAGATGAGTTTACTAACGTAACTTCATAACTAGGTAAGCAGGTATAGTGTTATGTGTATACAATATCGAAAATATCTAGGATAATTCTACATACGAAAATATAACGATTCTTAAGTGATTTGATGTCTCCGTAGCGCAGTTGTCATGGTATTGACTTCGGCGTCGGGGGTCGTGGGTTCGATTCCCACGCGGGACAACAATTTTTGTGACCCATAGACATTTGTCTCTTATCTGAGTGTGTGTCTACGTTGAAATGATTGTAAAACGTCCTAACAACATGAGATAATGTTAACCTAAAGTAAGGGCAATGTTTATTATGAATAAAAAAATGTTACATTTAAAAGGTTAGAAAGTTACGTAGGTACGTACGACAATATAACAAATATTTCGAGCACTTACGCATATATGGCGTGGATAGAATATGTAACTTATTGAGTTACATATTCTATCTGGGCCCACTTTTTTAAAAGGTGGCAACGCATCTGTAACCCCATAGACGACGGGTATCACTTAACATCAGGTGAACCGCCTACTCGTTTGCCACTTTGTAATATGTATAAAAAAAAACAGAATATAAAACGGCCTAAAAAGACAGGGAAGTCATTTACTAGCAAGTGAAAATCGATTTTTTAAAATGTATAGTATAGTATTAAGTAGGCAATAAATAAGTATAATATAATAGTAATTATTATAGTATTCTGTTGACAATTTAAAACTGTACGCAGTGGAATAGATTAAATAATGGTAAGATTACAATTATGTAAACCATGGGCACCCTACTCGGTGTCATACCTTCACAATTTGTGCTAACAACGAAAACGTGATATGATTTATGTCTGATTTGTTAGTAGTGTGATACAGTACTGGTTCATCTTATTTCAGAGAACACTGTTCAGTCAAATGCACAAAATTATACCTTACTCAATTTTTAAAACATATAGACACATAGTCTTTGTTCGTTTTTATAAAATTGCAACCGTTTATTCGAAGTAGTTGACGTCATGTTTTTTTATTCTCAACAAGGCGTTGAGATGCACCAATATGTATATATTTACAGGAAGAAAAACTACTCACGTTTTTGTCTCACTGGCATCCTGGTTTTGAGACTCAAAACTATTTCTATATTTTTCCGAATAAACCGACTTGACAATTCTCCTACAGCTGTCTGGATTACTCAAGAGTTTATATTTTTGTGGCACAAACTATGAAATTGTCGCCACTTAACGTTTTAATTTAATTTCGAGTTAGATATTCTATCATCTTTACTATGAAACGTGCACTTTAAGTCTTTTGTCGTTAACAGTAATCTTTTCTCTTTCCGTTATAACAAAATAAGATTACGTATGTGATGTAGAAATCGACGAAACAACCTCAACAAGTGAAGTTTTCAGATTGCAAACATTAACTTATTTCGTGAAACTTATTTCGTGCTTCCCTATTAAGTCTAAAATTACATACATATTGTAAACATTTTTCTTTCAACATATTATTTTGGGGTCACATTTAAATACTCACATCCATATCCTTATAATATTAATGTCATTGCCTCAGACCCTAAGCGCTTTGAATGTCAAAGTCATAGTTGAAATCGTAAAATTAAGTCCAGACCTTTTTCCGAGGCCATATAGATTCCAAAATCAGGTAGAAACCGGTTGTATGAGATTTTTTTAAATGGTACTACGCAAGGTTGAACAACAGCTGTAGCAAGTTTACTTTGCATGATATAATTACATGATCCACTTATGTATTATTATGTGCTCGTTTTCGTTAGAGACACGTTTTTTAAGGAATATATTTCATTGGGTAATAATTAACTTTTTTATTGTAGATTTTTGCGGTGTCATTATATTTTTTTGTAATCTTAGAACGACAACACACGAACGAACGACACATTGCCATTTGCATTCACAGGTTGCCCGCGACTCTAACGTTGTCGTGGTTCCACCTAAAGAGAGGCATTTCAACGCTACGTCTTCTGCTTCGTGGTCGCCACTCGAGAACAAATTGAGAAAATATATGATTGCCTTAGTCACTTACCTGAAATTATCTTCGCTCTATTGGTTTTAGCTGTCAGCAATTGCTTTGTGCAATTATTTGACAGTTCCATATGTTTTCTGCGAAGAATGCTATTGGATAACTGAGTGATTTTTTTTAGATACGAGATTTCGGAATACTGGTAATCTATTTTCCAATGAATAAAATTATTTATCTATGAATATTTAAAATTCTAATGTCACAATGTTAGTTTCCATACTCCGCCGAGACGGCTTGATCGATTTTTATGCAATTCTATATGCATATGTCTGAGAGTCGGTTGTAATCTATTTACCATACCCCTAAGTGATAAGGGTGAGCAACCTTAAACATTAGTACCCTACAGATTCCCTAGATAGTTTATATTCATATGGCAACACAACATTTGCCGGGTCAGCTAGTAATACATAATTATAAACCTCACCTCGGCTGCGATATAGGCGGGTATGACAGAGAGGAGGAGTCTCTCCTGCTGCTCTCTTTCGCACTCCAGCTTCACGCGCTGCTCGAGGCAGGTCCTGGTACCGGCGAACGTGTTCCGGTGGGCGCGCTCAGTTAGCACGCGGTAGTACAGGCCGATACCGCTCGCCGACAGCAGGAGGGCGAGCTCGCAGATCAACTGTTAATCGGTGATTAACGACGTTAAACAAAACTTATTTTCGCGTGGTGGGGCCAGGCATGAGTTTCTTGAATTGCCAGGGGAAGTACCAAGGCCTCGAACAAGAGTGAATTGAATGTATTACACTTACGCGTGGTAACCGGGGTAACTTTCACGGTGGAAGGGCCACGCAGCAGCCTCGGCTGTTGCACGAATGGGCAGGCTCGTCCGGGTAAGTACGACCTCACGGAAGACCGGCGTAAAGTGGAAGTATAATACTTTCGCGTTAGGTCTGGTGAGTGACGTGGCTGGAGCCCAATTTTCAAAAGGATGTCGACGCATCTGGAATGTAGCAGATGTCCATGGGTGGCGGTATTCACTTAGCATCAGGTGAACCGTCTGCTCGCTTGGCAACTTGTCACATAAAAAGAACTTTTTTAAAGGTTAGCAACGCATCTGCAAGACCTCAGGTGTTTGTGTTTTCCATTTCTTTTACTCTGTTTCATTCTGCTGTTCACTATCAATTTTCTACACATTTTACTACGAGTAGAGCCCCTACTAGGTGCTTAATAACGTACTGTTTGCGCTGCTGCATAAATCACCCTGTCAGACAAGGCGTTAGACGATCTCACAAAGTACCGAACCAAGAAGAATTAGAATTATTCTTTCATGGTTTGTCCGTCAACCAAGCAGGTAGCTACTGCTTCCTATTTTATGCAAAGTTATACAATTTTCCATTACAACAATGTTCAGACAACATATCAACAATACAGCTTGTAACAAAAGAACAATGATCGATTACAGAGTGGGAAAATGCAAGTTACAAAATGTATTATTTCACACGTTTGTAGTGCCCTGACCTGACCTGAGCCGTGATAGCTCAGTGTCCGGGCGCTCGCCTTTAATTCAATTTATTCGAGCCACCTGAGTTCGATCCCTGGTGCCAGCACCAATGAAATTGTTAATTTTAAGTGTTGACTCATGAACGGTGAAGGAATATTTGAAGCCCACCAATCCGCAGTGGGGTTGCGTGGTCGACTATGCCCTGATACCCTCTTTACAGACGAGGCCTTTGCCCAGCAATGGGCCACTTATAGGCTGTTACTTTACTTTACTTTTAGTGTCCATTTTTCGGATTCGGCGTCCAGAAATTACTCATACTTTACTAAGTAGATACGAGCAATTTCTCAACGGGTACGACAAAAATTTTATCTTTCGTTATGTGAGTATATTGCAAAATAGCAGTGATAGTTTCCGGGCGCTGCCTTTAATGATTTACGAGCAACCTGAGTTCGATCCCCGAGTGCCGGCACCAATGAAGTTTTTTTTAACATTTAAAAGTTGAGCCCTGACTTACTTACCACGAAGCTCCGCGAAGGAAAACATCGTAAAGGAAAACTCTTCTAATATTTTCGAAATAATAACAAAAAAAATATTTTTCGAAGATATTAAAGTCCCGCCAATCCGCAGTGGGGCCGCGTGGTGGACTATGCCCTGATACCCTCTGTATAGAGGAGGCCTTTGCCCAGCAGTGGGACATATATAGGCTGTTAGTTTTTAGTTTTTTTTAGTTTTATGTGACTGTATTGCAAAATAGCAGGCGTTTCACATGACGTTAAGTGATTTACGACATCTATTGAGACACGAGTCTGGCGAGGTTTCAGCATCTTTACGAAGTTGAGCCCTGCTTACTTACCGAAGGCGAGGAAAACGTTTAAAGTAAGCTCTTCTAATATAAACTGGGGATCTTATTAACAAGATCTTATTAGAATTATTAAACGTAGCCAGTTTAATAACTTAGTTTCGATGTGGATGACACCTAACCACCTTTGTAGCTACCATTAAAGATTTATTCATCGCACATTGTAAAATAATTAAGTTTTTCACTACATAATGTCACTGCTGCGCTTCTTTATACAATGCCCGGGTCATGGGGTTCGATTCCCCGATGCCCACACCTGCACCTGCCCGATACCTACGTCCCATGTGTGTGTGTGTGTGTGTGTGTGTGTGTGTGTGTGTGTGTGTGTGTGTGTGCTGTGTGTGTGTGTGTGTGTGTGTGTGTGCGTGCGTGTGCGTGCGTGCGTGCGTGCGTGCGTGCGTGCGTGTGTGTGTGTGTGTGTGTGTGTGCTTTTCAAAGGGTTTAATGGGTATAATAATATATAATACTTATAAAAATATTAATTGAGTTGTTTTACGCAAGGCCTTTCAGTTCATATGAATCAGTTAAAAACAAAATTAAAACGCGATAAAATCCGTAAAATATTTTCATTTACTATGTATAATAATTGCGTAAAACAAAAAAATTGTAAAATGTTTAAAAGAAATATTATATGCCTCCGTAAGTTTTATTTATATAACTGCACGTGTGGTTTTTATTATTATATATAAGCTAATTATTATATATAAGCTATTAATGGCAATAATAACCTTGCATTTTTAGTAGCAAGTCGTGAAGAAAACTACCATTTCATTCTAGCGCCTGAGAGAATGCGATAAGCAAAGTTGCATATAAAATTCGTAAGGAGCTGCAATCTCGCGACCTTTCGAATAAATCGTTCTGACTGAAATTACAGTTGTAATATGTGTGGAAATACATGGAATTTTCTTGAGGTTTTGCTTTTAGATTGTACTTAACCGCGTCGTCATGTTACTGTTTTCGTTTTAGAAGTTTTTACTCGACTACTATATAAAAGGTTAAATGAACTATTCCACGGAATACACCGCTTTTTATTTTTATTTTAAATTTCCGGACATTTCGAACCCTTTTATTTTTTATGTATCTTTATAGCTTTTTAATTAGCTAAGTAAGTAGCAGTACTTAATGCTAGTTACTTAGCTAATTGATGTAACTCAATACTTGCTTTGAAAGTAGCAAACCAAGCTTTTTACATTCACGGTGTATATAGGGCGAGCTAACGGTGTTCATCTTTTGGGTTTATTTTTTAGTCTCAAACATTTAAGACGGTCAGCCTTTACGATCAGCACATAATATAATTATGTGACAGGAATTCAGTCAGCCCTTTGTGCGCAGCTAACATTAGTCGTGTTTGTATTTTTTACCGAAGAAGGTATCAAAAATATAGATGTTTTTTTATGTGAAACGATGGCAAGCGAGCTGGCGGTCCACCTGATATTAAGTGATAACCACCGCCCATGGACGTTTGCAACACCTTTTAACAGAGTGAGCCCCGATTACCTCACTCACCAGACGAAAGGCAGAAGTGTAGCTTCCACTTCACACCGGTCTTCTAACAGATCGTGGTACTTCCCCGTACGGACCGACCCATTTTTGCAAGGGCAAAGACTTGTGGGGCCACGCACTGCCACAGTAATTCATGTATATCGGATACACTCTACTCGTACAGTTACGTTGCGAACCTTTAAGGGCGTGGGCACCGATTATCTCTTTGACCAGAAGAATTTCAAAACCACGGATACTTCCACCTTAAGCCGATCACTATATGAAGACGTGGTACTTCCCCGAATAACTATGTATCACAGAATAATGATACTTTCTGTGAGACTTCGGACACGTTAGCATCGGCCAGTGTTACCGTTAGCAGTCCCTGGTACTAAAGGTGCAATAAGATCCGAGGAAGATGAAGGTTCACTACCAAAATAGGATAATCTCAACTTTTTGCTTTTCAATCTTAAATTTTGAACCTGTCTGACAACATACCAGTAATTTAGACCCGTTTTCTGTAAGTCTTGACACTCTTCCTGTTAAGGAAAAACCGCCCGTGTTAGAAGAATATCGATTTGATGCCCATGTTCCACGATGAGCCCATACGGCGAATGATGTCTGTTCCCCAGATAATCGAATCATATAGTAGAGAAAGTTTTTCCTTGTTGTCCTTTAAACATAAATAGTCCTTAGGATTGAGTACTCTACCTGTTGATAGAATTGCTCTTCTTGGCCTTCGGGCCCTAGGCCGATGGCCAGGCCCATGTAAGCCAGGGTCAAGGCCGCAGACATGATTAAGGCGATACGACGCGCTATCGGCATCATGGTGTGCACCATCTGCAACAAGGGGGTGACGAATAAAAAACTACTCGCGTGTTTAACTCGTACATTTGTTGTTTCATCGGGATAATTTTGTCCCGAGATAACAGGTGTCAAGCCTTAGCACAAATTACTGTAATTATTACAGTATTTTTTTAATGAAAAAGAAAATTCAATATCCTAAGCATAAGTATAACACTGAGAGAATAGTATCTAAATCAACTAACAAAGTAAATGATACGTAAACAGAAATCCACTTCCTTATTAATATAATAAAGGCGAAAGTCTGTTTGTATGGATGGATGTTTGTTACTCTTTCACGCAAATACCACTGAATGGATTTTAATGAAACTTTACAATAATATAGCTTATACATCCGAATAAGACATAGGCTATAATTTATATACATATTTCTATGTATAACTGTTTTTATGTCTGAATGTTACGTCTTCAGCCTATTCTACGCAGACGTAGTCTCGGGCAGTAGCTAGACATAAATATTTAAGTGCTTTAATACGCAATACATGCAATGCTTTAAGTGATCTTTCTGCCAATTGGTGTTACGCGTCATGTTTGTATTCGATTCCACAATGGACAAGAATTTGTGTGCTATATAGTTCTTTTTTCTGATTCGTTCAACATAAAAAAAAATCTGTATGGATCTATTGCACAATTTTCACCACATTAGGCCTCGAACCATGTCGAGCCACGGGCCACGCAACACTGTTGCACGAATGGGCAGGTCCGTCCGGGTAAGTACCACGACCTCACAGAAGACCGGCGTAAAGGGCGTAAAGTACAAGTATTACACGTCTGCGTTTCGTCTAGTGAGTGAGGTAGCCGGGACCTACTTTATTTAAAGGTGGCAACGCATTTGCAACCCTACTGGTGTTCCAAATGTCCGTGGGCGGTGGTTATCACTTAACATCAGTTGAGCCGCCAGCTCGTTTGTCACAAAAAACCAAGACCGTTTAGATAACAGTTCGACGAACTAAGCATCCGTGTAACTTGGGAGATAAATTCTAGAGTTCTCCGTAGTTACATCCAGAGCGGCGTCGATCGCATACAAAGTTTACGTAGATGAAATTACTTCGAAGGGGAACATCGGGCGACGTGTGGTAGACTAGACGCTTAATTTGAAACGATATCGTTGCGCACGTGAGTTTAATGCAATTGGGACGGTCTACGCGATAACGGAATAAACACTCGAGTCTTCAACAAACTTGAATTGAATTAAATAAGGAGATTTATTTTGGGCGTTTATATAAAATCGACACCGAGGGGCGTGGTGGATAGTTAACCTGTCTCTTGCGCCAGAGGATGTGATTTCGATCCCCACTGCTGGATAAATATTATGTGATGTACATAGTGTTTTCTACTGTCTGGTTATTTTCAACATACGTAATGGTTGCTGCCATTGTTCACAATAAGTAATGGTTGTACATCATAAGACCTTGATAAAAAATATGAAAAAGCCAAGCAACAGTTAATACTGCGGTTGTCTAATAAATTGATTAAAAGTAAAACTGTGGTAGAGCCACACAGCAGCCTCGGCTGTTGCACGAATGGGCAAGCTCGTCCGGGTAAGTACCACGACCTCACAGAAGACCGGCGTAAAGTGAAAGTATGACAAATACATTCGCGTTTCGTCTGATGATTGAGGTAGCCGGAGCCCAATTTTCAAAAGGTTGTCAACGCATCTGTAACCCTTGGGTGTAGCAGATGTCCATGGACGGCGGTATTCACTTAACATCAAGTGAACCGCCTGCTCGCTTGTCAACTTTTCACATAAAAAAAGTTAGTTATACGTATTTTTATGTATCTAATCCACCTAAACTGTGTAAAAAAGTTAAGAGAATGATTTTATGCTCAGATCAGAGATACTTGGCTTGGCATCGACTCTTAAAATTATTAAATTTTGTTACAGGTTAGATGATCAAATCTTGAAAATCTAACCTATATAACCTAACCTGGTTATATAGGTTAGATTTTCAAGATTTGATCATATTAGATTTAAAATTATTATGAGCTTTTTAGTGCTAACCGTTTTTTGAAGTAGGTACATTTTTTGTCAAAAACTTTTTATGATAAGACCCTTTCGAACAAACAAAAAGAATTTTGCAAATCTGTGTACCTATATTATATTAATTATGACGAAATATCTTTTGGTGTTTGATACCTTTTTGAAGTCGGCTAAAAATACGCGTCCAATTGACAACCTCCTTCCTCTTTTCTTAATGACATTCAAAATCTGCAATCACTAAGCAAATACTATCACTGATGGGTTAAAAAGGGTTGGTCTTTTTAAGGTTCCGTACCCATAGGGTAACACGGGACCCTATTATTAAGACTTCACTCCCTGTCTGTCTGACTGTCAGTCCGTCTGTCACCAGGTATCTCATGAACCGTTATAGTTAGAAATTTGAAATTTTCACAGATTATATATTTCTGTTGCCGCTATAACAACAAATATTAAAAACAGAACAAAAAATTATTTAAGATGGACTCCCATAGAACAGACATTATTTTTTTTGTCGTTTTTATAGATTACTATCACTTGGCCCGTTTTTTACCTCTCCCTTATTATTTAATGTCCCTTCCAATAAGTGATAGTTCAGTGCTCTTTCCTTCTCCATGAACATGTCATACTCATCTGTAGCATTGTGACTCAATATATTTAATTATAACGTATTTCTCTAAACACATATTTGATAATTAGCAAGATATCTATCTACTAAGCTTATAACACATACGTAGAGAAACATATAGGCATAGCATTCCGAAGATACCTGTGGGTGTACCTCGTTACCACATAATTAATTGCATTCTAATTGTATACGAGTGGAATAACGATCACAGCTTCGGCTAAAAAATCAAAACCATGCACTATACGTGAATGCTTTTGTTACCCCGTTTCTATGACATTCTCCACAAAGAGTTTTACGTAAAATCTCTCTTTTTTATTTTGCATTTATAAAATTCAAAACTTTTCCACCACCATGGTGTCATACGAAACAGATACACACACTTGCAAATGTAGTTTACATTTATACATAAGTACTATGATTTCTTACGTTGTGTGAGAAATTAGGCCGTTTTATGTGAAATAAATCACGCCAACGAATCCACGGATAAAAGATCACAATCATTATCATGAAACAGCCTGTTGCAATGCATTGGGCATAGATCTCTCTCGAGACACGCCTTATCCTTGGCCATGAACGTTGAGTTCCTTGCAGTCACTCCGTCTGATATACAGAACAAAATGGAAATAATAAAAAAAGCAATGAAATATGTTTTTTTTTTTTTATATTAGACGGTGGCAAGCGAGATGGCGGTTCACCAGATGTTGAGTAATAACCGCCCTTGGACATTTGCAACAGCCATAGGATTGCGGAGCGTTGCCACCTCTCAATAAAGTGTGCCCCGGCTATCTCACCCACCAAGCGAAACGCAGAAGCATAACACTTCGTTTTCGTCTTCTGTGAGTTCGTGGTACCCGGAGGGAGCTGCCCATTCGTGCTACAGCGAAGACTATTGCGTGGCCGTACCACAGTTACAGTTATACCTTAACTGTGGTAGGGCCACGCACCAGCCTCGGCTGTTGCACGAATGGGCAGGCTCGTCTGAGTAAGTACACGACCTCAAAGAAGATCGGCGTAAAGTGGATATATGACAAATATTTTCGTGTTTAGTCTGGTGAGTGAGGTAGCCGGAGCCCAATTTTCAAAAGGTTGTAAACGCATCTGTAACCCTCGGGTGTAGCAGATGTCCATGGGGGGCGGTATTCACTTAACAATAGGTGAACCTTGTCTGCTCGCTTGTCAACTTTTCACATAAAAAAAAAAAACAATTAAATTACGCTCAATTACTTATGCACTTGCTCTACAAAGCAAGTTCAGTTTAATACGAGTAATCGAGTTGGCCGGTTAAAAGGATTTTTAATGTGTCCCCATAGGCGTACGTCCGGTTAACGAGAAATCAATTGCGAGCGTTGGGATTTTATATTCATTCAATATTTGTTCGACAAATTGGCGGGTGGACGTAGGGGCTGCGTTGTTATATACGACTTGAGGAGGTGATAAAAATCACTATTGTGTAGCACTACATAGTATAAAACCAAGTCGTCCCACTGTCTGTTTGTCCCTTTATTATTATATGCGTAGATCTTTAAAACTACTTAACGGCTGGACCGATTTTAATGAAATTTTTTGTGTGTCTTCAGGTAGATTCAAGAATGGTCACAATTCGGTCCTCTACAATGTTTTTTTTTTTAATTTTTTTGTTTATAAGTTGTTGTCGGATTGAAGTCGGGTGTACAGGACAAAGTCTGTCGGTCCGCTAGTATATAATATAATAAAGGCATCTGCATATAATTTTGTTATACCTGCCTTAACTCTCTATTTTTAAAATACATGTTTCGTTTATTGAGTCTATAATTGAATTAATATATAAATATGTTAAATATTACTAGTATAATAATTATGAATTTATAATATAATTGTAGAGAAACCGATTTATATTATAAGAGACTGTTTAAGTTATTGTATATATTTGATTATAACTTTCAATATGGGGCCTGTTGACGCCAAGATGTTTATAAAATACGATTGGAAGGCTGAGGAGGGATGGCTAGGCAGTTCTAGATAAGTATGGTAAGACATAAGAAAATAACGTTAGAAATTCAATAAGATTTTCGTTAAATGAGTATAACATGTATTAATTCTAAAGTATTTGCTTTTCTTTATTGCTGACTTAACCTCGTAAGTACCTCCTTTAAGTTACTTTCTAGGAACAGTTTAACAGAATCAATACGAGTTAAGTTTGTTAAATTAGGTTATTCCTGACCTAGTCTACCTTCTTTTTACTAGGAGAGTCGCTTTAAATGTAACAAGCGCTACTGAGGTTCAAATCTGCGATATTTAATCGCAAGGTTACCCTAAAAGGGCCGCTTCGATTGGGCTCTTAGAGCCCCGCCTAGATGCGTGCAAAAAGGGTGCGAGGGAGATTGACATTGT